ATTGGCATCCTTGGATGACTAGAGATATAAAACTTACAAATAAATTCATTTTCATACACATCCAATTTGAAATAAAATCCACTTTTGGAATAATCTTTTTTAATTAGCTTCAGTCAGTTAGCTATACTTTAATTTTAATGTAAAGCATATGTTACTTGGTCTTTCCCTTAGCATCAGTAGCTGCATTTCCATTAACCACCATATTCCACGGATTGTAATTATAATAACCCTAACCCTGAATAAAACCCTCACATTTTGAAAAAAACGTATGTTTCTCAATAAAAATATATATTTTTTTTACAGATTTTTTTTTTATTGAAATTAACTGAGAAAATGTGTCAAAGCATTAGAAATACTGAGGTATTGTATTTGTCCATATTTTTTTGGCTAAAATTAACAGAGAAGAACAGAAGATTTTGAGTTCATTCTAAAAACATCAGTGGGAAAATATCATCTTCCAATAATCTGATACCTGTTTAAGAAATTCAGATAATTTTACAGGCAGTTTCATAATCACATTTCGGCACCAATCCAACCCTTCTAAAAAATGTTTTTGGGGATATGAAACCAAGTGTAAACTGTGGCGTGGCATATTTGGATTCTTTAAGAGACAATTTTGTACATTTATGAGACAATGAAAGCGATGAGTACTAGAGCTGTGGCTGAAACAATAGAATCAGAATCATATTTATTACCAAGTAGGTTTGCACTTACAAGCAATTAGACTTGATGTTGATGATGCAGACAAATTATATATATATTATATATATACAGAATACAGAATCTATAGCTATATACATTATATAGTTCAGAACAATATACTATATACGCAGTAGACTGCATTAATGTAATGCAGGATGTCTGAAGATGCTACGTTGGTTTTAGCTTCTAGGTCCTGAACGGGGAAGGGAGAGAGACAGTGTCAGTGTCATGGGGTCTGTTGGCCTTGTTGATAAGGCTGGTAGTGGATGGGAAGAAACTGTTCTTGTGGCGTGAGGTTTTGGTCCTGATGAACCGCAGCCTCCTGCCAGAGGGAAGTGTCTGAAATAGTTTGTGGCTGCGGTGCGAGGGATCATCCACAGTCCTCCCTGCACGCCTCAGAGTCCTGGAGGCGTACAGATCCTGAAGAGATGGAAGATTGCAGCCAATCACCTTCTCTGCAGACTGGATGACGCGCTGTAGTCTGCCCTTGTCCTTGGCTGTGGGAGCAGCGTACCAGATGGTGATGGAGGAGATAGGGATGGACTCCATGATGGAGGATTAGAAGTGCACCATCATTGTCCTTGGCAGGTTGGATTTTTTTCAGCTGCCACAGGAAGTACACCCTCTGCTGGGCTTTCTTGGTGAGGGAGTTGATGTTCAGCTCCTGTGAGATGATAGTTCCCAGGAAGCGGAAAGACTCCACACTGTCAATTGTGGAGCCACAGAGGGTGATGCGGAGACCTGGGGCTGAGTTCTTCCCTTAATCCACAACCATCTCCACTGTTTTTAGAGCGGTCTGCTCCAGGTTCTTCTCCCTGCTCCAGGTAGCCAGATGGTGAACCTCTCACCTGTAGGCGGACTCTTCACCATCAGAGATAGGTCAAATGAGAGCGGTGTCGTCCGTTAATGTCACAAGCTTGACAGGACTTGACTGGAGGTGCAGCTGTTGGTGTATAAGGGAGAGGAGCAGAGGAGAAAGAACACAGCCCTGGAGGAACCAGTGCTGATGAGCTGGGAATCAGAGACATGTTTTCCCAGCTTCATGTGCTGCTTCCTGTCAGACAGGTGTCAAAGCACAAGGAGCTCAAAGGACTTCATAACCAAAGAGGTCAGGGCAACGGTTGTAAAGTCATTAAGTCCTGTGGACCTTGGCTTATTGGAAACAGGGATACTAGAGGAGGATTTGAAGCAGGTTGGCCTGTGACATGTCGCCAGTGAGGTGATGAAGATGTCTGTTAACACTGGAGACAGCTGATCAGCACGGTCGTGCAAGAGTCTTAACATCCACCAATGTCGTGTTATACTCAAGAGATATCGCTTGAATAAACGTATTAATGCGCTATTTTAATTGGATTTCTTTTATAATGGAAATACTGTAATTGACATTTTCAAAATTACCAAAATATTAATATAGTTTTTTGCACATTTGTAATGGAAATGCAGCAACGTTTTTATGTTTCCACATGTGGCAGAAACATTTATCCGAAGCTGTCCTTCTGCCTTCGAAGATGAATTTATTCTAAGGTTTGTTCACATCGTTACCAAGGCTGCCAATAAGTCTGTAGCTCTCGGTTTATCTGGAGGTTTACAGTTCAGCATCTGAGCGCTGCAAACCTTCAGAGCAAACGTGCGGCAGCGACTGTGTGCTAATCAGCTGATCATGCCTTCACCCCCCCTTAGATGACAGGTGTGTACACGGAGCTGGAGAACATGTACACAGGGAAGAGCGTCTCCCCCGCAGAGCCTGAGGTGGTGGGACAGACTGAGGCCTACGGCCGCTCTCTCTCCCCCCTCACGCTGCCCCCTCTCACAGGTATCGCTCACACACACAGACATAAACACTCAGATACATGCTTCCATCAGTGGTTTCAGCTCATTCACCACCAGGGTCTAATTGTTTAAATGATACAATTGGACAAAAAAAAAACATATATATATGATTAAAGGATATGGATGTTGGCCCTGATGGCAGATGAATGATGTCATGATCTCGTTATGTGAGAGAAGATCCGACTCTTTGGTTCATGCAGACAAATAGAAACAGGTTCTTCTCCATCATGACGTGACAGCCACTGATGTTTGAATGCGTTGGAGCCCAAACACATTCAAATGCTGCAGTTTACTCCTGCATATATGACAGCAAAGGAACTCTTTGTTGCCAAGGTTACCTCATGGAAAAACTCCCCATAATAACATGATGGAGAAGTTAACAGCTGGTAGAAACAGGAGGATGTGTTTTAATCACAGAAGCTCTGATGTTGTTTTTTTTCCCCCGATTTCCATCCATTTAGGCAACAGAAAGTCCGGCCTATCCCTCTCCTGGAAGGAGCCTCTTCCCACCACTGTGTATGAGATCCAGCACCAGAGCAGCGTGGAGTCCAACCCCTACGTCAGCCTGGAGAGCCCCCCTGCCTCCCCTCCGCACCCGGACAGCGGTCCCAACACCCTGACCCGCCGCAAGAAGCTGTTCACCTTCTCTCGCCCGCCTCGGAGTCGAGATACAGACAAGTTCCTGGACGCCCTGAGCGAGCAGCTGGGTCACCGGGTCACTCTGGTCGACGACTTTGTGCCCGGCGAGAACGACTATGAAGAGGTGAGGAGGACTACTTCTTCTCTTTATTACCGGTTTTAGTAAAAAAAACATATTTGAAATGATATTAATCCATCCTTTACGGACGACTTTAAAACATTTAGCTTTAAACTTTACAAACTTTGCGTTAAAAAAAACACATGACCTCTGAGCTCTGAGCAGCTCTGATATTTGCTCCAACCAACGCTTGTGTCACACAAACAGATTGATGACGTTGGTCGTCATGGTTTCAGAAGAAGAACTGCACCTGTGAGTAAAACTCGTTACTCAGTAGAAGCTAATTATATCTGCAAGCTTCAGGCTCCACATCACATCTGCATCTGCAGCGAACAGGCACAACAATATGACCTCCACGTGTTACAGGCGTTTGGGGCTGCAGAGATGACCCCTGATGGATGAGGAGAAAAGAGATTCCTGCATCAAAGGGGGTCATAATGTTATGCCTGATCAGAGTCGGATATATTTGGTTTAAAAAAGTGGAAAAAGAACAAAGTTTTTTGTTTGAGTGCTTTACAGCTTTTTCATGCAGCATCATGAGCCCAGAAGTATTCACACCCTCTGAGCCCTCTGCTCAGTTTTTGCTCCACTTATACGTTTATACTTCCTGCCTTTTAAAGTTCAGGATGCAGCTAATTGTTAAACTGCATTAATTATAAATGCCCTCCATCTTCCTCCAGATGAGTTTCCCAGACGACCAGGACTTCCTTTCCCGCCGCCTCAGCAGCGGCAGCAGCGAGGAGCACTGCAGCAGCGATGAGGCCTCCTCTCCCACCTACTCCTCTGGTTCTGAACCGATCCCACCACCTCCTGACCAGAGCCCTCCGCCCCCTCCTCCTTTCCAGGCTCTGATACCTCCTCCCGTCCAGTTCACCGACCCTCTGCCCCCCGTGCGTTTCTCTCCGGAGCACGTCCCCCGCAGCCGGATGCCCTTCCAGCCGCATCACCCCATCATCCCTCCACCCCCGCCTCCTCCCAGGACCCTCCTGTCCAGCCGCTCGCCTCTGCACAAACCCAGCAGAGAGGAGGTGGAGAAAGCTCGGCAGCGCTTCAGAGCCTCATCCACTAGGTTCACGCAGGGCATCGCCCCACTGAACTTCTCGACTCTGCGGTCCTCCCAGCCGTCTCGCGCCAGCTACCTCCCCCGTCAGCTGAGCCAGCCCCAACCCGTCCGCCAGCCATCCCCCCAGCCGTCCCCCCAGCAGCTGAGGCCGAGCCAGCTGGTCCTGCACAGGCACCACCAGCTCCACCACCAGCACAGCTACCAGGGTCCCCTCCCAGCATCCCTGCAGGACCCCAGCCCAGCCCAGAACCAAAGCTCCTCGGTGCTGTCCCAGCCTCCCGCCTCCCACTCCTCCCTCCCCACTCACACCTCCAGCTTCGAGAGCTCACCACAGGAACTCCAGTCACAACAGGTAACACATGCATCTTTCTCTCCTTCATCCTTCAGAAGATGCAGCAGAGCTCCTAGCAACAGAAAACAGAAATAACCCGGCATCAAAGCAAGAACCCCGTCTTGTTCTTTAGCAACCCGGCAGAACCCTTCATGTCTATTTGAAGTGTTTCTGCATTCACGGTTTGATCTGATTAGGTTTGTCTATAAATCTACCTTCCTCTGTTTAAACTCTGTCAGACTGCATGGAAATTTCTGACTAAAGATTCTCATTATATTTCAGCCTGGACTTTGACTAGGCCATTCTATCTCAACCCAATTTCAGGTCCTCTCCAGGTCTTCATTCAGGATAACCCTCAGCCATCATCCATTAACTCTGACCAGCTATATTTCCTACAAATTATTGATCCACAGTATTTAGATCTACATTTTTTTGCAAAGACTAAAGTAAAAATGTCTTAAAATAAATGTATTTGCTCTTAATTTGAACAGGTAGATGAGATGATTTTCACTGGAATTAGAATTTTTCTTTATATATTATCCTCTTGAAATAAAATAATTGAGTTTTTTCCTCTTAAACATAATTAATCTTATTCCATTGGCATATTTTCTTATTTTCATGCTCAAATCAAGAGAGGATCAACTTATTTTTAGAGAAACAGACTGAACTGAATTATTTTTTTCATTATGCTGGTGTATAATGGTGTATAAAGGTCAGAAAACTTCCTCAGGTTTTGGTATTTGTCTTTAATCACGCTGATTAAAGACGTCAGTTTCCAATAATAAAAATGAAATACTAATAATTTTAAAAAATCAATCCTGAAATGATTTGCTAATTTCCTCTTTTTAAAGGCTCCACCTCCTCCTCCTCCACCACTGCCTCCACCTTGCGACCCACCTCCTCTGCCCAAACCGGGCCAGCAGGCGTCTGACACCAACCACATGAGTGTGAAGAGGCTGCGCTGGGAGCAGGTGGAGAACTCAGAGGGAACCATCTGGGGTCAGGTGAGCTCTGATCGGTTGTTCTCTGGCGTCGCTCGGCGCTCACACAACAAACACGACTCCAGCAGAAAGAAAGCTGTGAATCTTCCCAGTTTGGCTGCAGCGTTTCTCCCTCCTACGACGGAGGACAAAGCTTCGTCTGTCTCTCATGAGTCACAGCAACACCAAACAAACAGGAATGGTGGACGCTAACGAGTCTGTCTTGGTTTGCTTACAGCTGAGAGAAGATTCCGACTATGACAAGCTGAGTGACATGGTGAAGTACTTAGACCTGGACCTGCACTTTGGAGCTCAGCGCCGACCCAGTGAGTGATGCTCCTGCCACCGTCCAACTTCAAACATTACATCATGGCTGCCAGTCATTAATAATCATGTTTTAATGTATTTTTCATTTGATTGTTGATCATTATCTCTGCTTACTGAAGTCTGTTCCCAGTCGGGATGTTTTCTGCTCCTGTGCAACCATTCTCCATACGGCACCATCACCCATCCTCCGTCTGTTAGGTCAGCTGTCTGCGGCTCTGCTTTGCTCAGGTTTTCATGACCCTTCAAAGTAAGACTATTAAGTAAGACTAAGTTTTTGTTTTTTTCAGGTGAGGTAGAAAGTGTTTGTTGTTTTAGTTCTACAGAGTCACTGAGTGCAAATCAGCACTGATATTTCTGTAAGAAAAAGGAAACATTCTGGTTCCTGATCCAGATCATATAGCTGCTAGGTCTAAGGGTCTGAAAACCTCTGCAGGAAGCATCATATCAGCTCTGTAAAAAGCAGAGTCCTGTTTGATAACCATTCAGTGGACAAAGCTGCATCATCATCCTCATCTTTTCACACCCCCTGGTGCCTGGAGAACAAATATTGACACGTTTGTTAAAATGATCAGTTTCTCCTCCAGAACCAGCCTTCCTGCCAGAGAACCTCAAGAAGAAAGACGTGGTGGAGATACTGTCCCATAAGAAGGCCTACAACGCCTGTAAGAACACCTCCCACTTCGAAGAACCTTCACAGATCAGTTAGGAAAGAAACGCTTAAAAGCTAAGAGCTTCTTTATTTCTAAAAAAGTGACTTTTGGGGAGATTTTATGTTATTTTGGTGGGAAAAGGTTTTATTTTGAAAGGCATCATATGTTGTAGCTTTACAAACTGTTAGATTGTATGAATGGGGACAGAAGGAGTGTCGTTAGAATCTGTTAGAGACTTTTTAGTACTCCATGTTTTGGTCTTCGAATGATAATTAAAACAGACTCAAGAACGGAGCCTTGAGGAACCTCGGATCTAATCTGATTGAGTAGTTTTTGCTTCATATTGTGCTCCAGATAGGATCTGAAAACGAATCCCAATATTCCTAAAAGCTCTTCTGATGCATCAGTCATGATGTTCTGATTGATTGTTGCTCTTAAATGAAATAGAAACCACACAGAGCTTCAAAAACCAATTTCAGAGATTCATTGTTATCAAAAACACCATTTAAAGAGGAGGGACCTACAGGCAGACTGAAGCAGGTGCGTAAAACGACTGAAACCATGTTCATCTGCCCAAATCGGAGCAGATATAAAACCATTCCCCAAGAATTTTCTTTCCAATGATTCATTTTATTTTGACTCCTGGTCCAACCCTGCCTGAAAACATGGGAGCCTTAAAATACCTGAAATTTCCTGACTCTTCATCTCTATCTGCTCATCTTGTTTTTATCCAGCAGCTTGTTCTGTGGTGATGTTAATTTGTTTTATTTAGCTTTCTGACACATTTCACTGCAGCTCCTGTTTTCCAGTAAACCTGGAGCTTCATGAAGGTGGAATCTTATTCTAAACGTCCTAAAATGCGGTGAAACGACTCCTGCTGTAGCTGAGCAGGAGTGACCCTCTCTCTGTCACTGGCAAATACTTTGCAAACTGATGGAGGTGTAGCTGAAATCTGAATGTATATTTAAAATGGATTTAAAAATTGAGGCGGGGAAATTTTTAGGTTTTTACGGCACTAGTGGCTCTTTTTTTTTCCAACAGTGGGCTTACAGGAAAGAGGGGGTGAGAGAGGGGGTGTGAAAGGACACATCAAGTACTATTTGTTGGTGCTAACCACTGCGCCACTGAAGCAACTCTTTATTTTAACAGAACAGATAGATGCAACAAGGAACTTACGGTCTTTTCCAATGTTTCTGCCTGTTCTCCTCTAGACAAGGTTTTTCTGACTAATTTAAAGTCTGCAAAGACCTGTGAAGGTCTCCACATACAGTTGATCAAAACAATTTAAAGGAGTAAAATGTTGAATAAACCTTGAATGTAAAAGAGTCTGGCCTCTATTCCAAAACCTCTAAAAGAACATTCTGAGGCATCAGCCAAGATAAGACTCACATCCAGCCTTGTCTAGCAGGTGTTCTGCTTCAGCAAACACTTTTTTCTTTAGACTTAGACAACTTTTATTGTCATTTTGTATACATAGAGTGTGTGTGTTCTGTACAGCTTTTAGACAGAGAATAAGCAGCACTTTTGTGCAAAAAAATAAACAAAACAAGCTCCTTTACTGGAGGCCTAACAGGAATTGAGTGGAAAAAATTTTTCCCGTCACAGAACCGGATTCTATGATAGAAACGGTGAAGGAACCAAGTTTTTACTGCAGGTTTGGACGTTTATGCTGGAAATAGAAAGCCTGGTTATCTCATGACAGTGTTAAAGGAACTAAATGGAGAGTCAGTCTGTAAACCATAGATCAACCTGCTGCAGCCAATCAGAATGTAAGATTTTCTAACCAGAAGCTGCAGGAACATTAATAGGAGGTTCCATCAGAGCAGAACCACAGAGATAAATCCCACCCCCCCCTCCCTGCAGCCATACTCATTGCACATCTGAAGCTGTCCCCTGAGGAGCTGCGCCAGGTTCTGATGAACCTGAACACAGACCGGCTGGAGCCAGCCCACATCAAGCAGCTGCTTCTCTACGCCCCCGACGAGGAAGAGGTCAAGCAGTACGAGCGCTTCGAGCAGGACCCGGCCAAACTCAGCGAGCCGGACCAGTTCATCTTCCAGGTAGCTGGAATGAGCCCGTTTGGACCACAGAGGAGAAGTCCGCCTGTGAATAACAGGGTTTGTTTGTTTCAGATGTTGATGGTTCCGGAGTATAAGACCCGCCTGCGCAGCCTCCACTTTAAGACCACGCTGCAGGAGAGGACGGAGGAGATGAAGGTGGCCTTTGACTACATCTACAAGGCCTCAGTGGAGCTGAAGAGCAGCAAGAAGCTGGCTAAAATCCTGGAGGTGAGTCTTCAGGCTCACCGGTCTGGGTCGGCCTGAGCAGTTCTGGTGGTGCTGAATGTTTTTCTGCCTCCTCTCTGCCCACAGTTTGTTCTGGCGATGGGAAATTACCTGAACAACGGCCAGCCTAAGAGCCACAGGACGACCAGCTTCAAGATTAACTTCCTCACTGAGGTGCGGCCTGGAAGCTCTCCTCTCAACCTGCTCGCTTCTTCTCTGTTCCCACTTTCACACATTTCCTCTCTTCATTTTCGCAGCTAAGCACCACGAAGACGGTGGATGGAAAGTCCACTTTCCTTCACATTCTGGCCAAGTCTTTGTGCCAACACTTTCCTGAGCTGCTGAACTTCCCTGCAGACCTGCTGACAGTTCCCCTGGCGGCTAAAGGTACTAAGGAAACCTTTTCTCCATAGAAACATTTATCTTATTGGTTTTCCTTTGCTAAACCGCTGCTGCTGTTGTTTTCCGGTCCAGTGAACCAGAGAGCGATCACCACAGAGCTGAATGACCTTCACACTACAGTCCAGGACATTCGCACAGCCTGCCAGAAGATCCCAGCAACAGCTGAGGACCACTTTGCTTCTGTTATGAGTGTAAGCCAAACCATTAAATATAACATTCACCAAAAAACAGAAACCAAAGACAGGGTTCTGAACTGAAACTAAAAACACACCAGAAGCACCAGAGTTACTTAAAGGAGGCACTTTAAACCGGACCTTTATAATGTGATCAGAGAGCTGAAACTTCTTCCTTCCACAGAGTTTTCTGGAGAACAGTCATCCTGCCATCCAGTCTCTGGAGTCCCTGCAGTCCCGAGCCATGGAGGAGTTCTCCAAGGTGGCCTCCTACTTTGGAGAGGACAGCAAGTCCACCAGCACAGACGCCTTCTTCGGCATCTTTGCAGAATTCATGGCCAAGTTTGAGGTGAGCCTACCGACCCGCTCCGCTGTGCACCTACAATAAGCCGGGCTTTATTAGGACTGGTTGCATCTTCAGCAAATGTTTGACAGCTTCAGCCCAAAATAGCTGGGAGGCTTTTTAGAACCAGACAAACTGCCTGCAGCTGTAAAATAATTGGGCCTCCATCAGATAAATAATCAAAAACAAGCCTGATAATCCGGCTGAGGTTCTGGTTCTGTCTTTCAGAGAGCGCTCAGTGAGACCCAGACAACTGAAAACCCACGAAGCCCTCGACTGTCTTCTCCTCTGGCCTGGTAGGATCTAGAAGGTTCCTCCCTGCTGTCCATCAACCAAAGTGCCAAGAACCCCACTGAGACGCTCACACCCACAGGAACAGAGACACGGTCCGCTCCAGGACACTGGACCCACCCAGACCGGACCACATCAGGTGCTGGAACCGGTGTCCACATGTCCAACCTCTGCTGGACATTATTTCCATCTCTTTTTACAGGAGAATGTTATTTATTCTTATTATTGAAATGTGTGACATCACATGCTTTAGTTTAGCAGCTTTAGAAGGTTGGTTCTGACTCGCTCCACCCGGGGCTCGTCTGGAGACGGGTCCATTGATGTCCTGAAAGGTCCGGTGGATCTCAGTAAGGCTCAGAACCGAGAGCTCCAGGAGAGGCTCCAAATGGGAGGAAATTCCTGAAGAAGATGGTTCCTCTGAAAACTCTTTTCATTCCTCTGGACCTTCCTGTCCTGGTTAATCGAACATCCTGCACGGTTCTTTACGATCTCAGCTGTTTCACTTTGGGCTGAAAATCTCAACGTTTGAAATAAAAGAAAATATTTTCAGCAGGTCAATCTGATGCAGGGGTCTGCAACCTGCAGCTGTTTGTACTCCCCAAAATGGCCCTAAATAGTTTATTAAAATGATATAAAGAACCAAATAATGCAGTAGCCTTTTAAATTTGATTTAATTTTCATATAAGAAATATGGATTATTAGAAATATGTTTTCTTTTTTCTTTTCATTGACTTGCTAATTATGTTTCTACATCTGATAACCTATATGCAAAAAGCCATGCTTCATCTTTCTGAAAATAAAAATAACCTGATTGTTGTTTAAAATGGCAATAGATGTCCTTAACATAACATTCAACTAAAAAGCAAAAAAACAAAATTGGTGTTTTTCTGAATTATGATAGAATGAAGAGAAAATTTAGCCCCAAATTGTGACACTTATAGCTAAAACCAGCACACAATTTGGATCATTACCAAATTTAAAGAATTGTTCCATGGCATGAGGCTGAACTCTGGTAAAAAAACAAAAAAAACAAATGTCCTTAAAATCTGTTTCAATAGATGCTGATAACAAGCCAACAATTTTCCCTTTTCTTGTGTTTTTATCTTCCAACTTTTTGAGTCTGATGTTGAGGCTGTCAATACTTACTGCTGCCACCCTGTGGTTTAGTAGGGAACTGCTTGTTCCGGCAAATATTCATATCTCACATTGTTAGAGAATCTTTCTGTATCCAGATTATGATCTGGATCATAACCAATATTTTTTGTATTGTTTCTTGAGGTGCACCCCTGATAAAAAAATTTTTTTATAAACTTTTCAAATTATCCTGTGCACAGATACACACACTCTCCTATAACATAACCTCCTTAGCGAAGGTAATTAATCTATAAAAATGGAACATGAAAACCAACAGTAGTGGAACATCCATTATGAAACCACAGCAGCATTGTCGTTAATTCATAAAAACTGAATGTTTTTATTTATTTGCTTTTAATTGTGTCTTTGATTTAGAAAAAAACTGAATTTTTTATTTTTGTAAAAAAGATCTAATTGATCAGAAAAACAGACCAATTTTGTTTGTTTGTTTTCTAGGTCATTATGCTTCCATACTTCCACATATAGCAGACATTACCCAAAATAATGTGTTTTATTTAAAGGTTATTTATTATTTGTGGCTCTAAATGCCTTTTGCTTGGTGGGGTAAGAATGGCTCTTTGGATTTTAAAGGTTGCAGACCCCTGATCTAACAGCTGCTGAATGTTCAAATCATCTGGATTTTTATCCCTTTCTTAGTAAAAAGGTTCACTGGAGACGAGGCTTAACATGAAGTCAGATACATGTGGTTTGGTTCAGAAAGGGACTTAATGAAGTCAGGATTAAATCCAGATTCTTGCACCACTTTATGTTTAAAGGGGAACCATGATGATCCACAGGAAATAGATGCCAGTTAATTGAATGGAAACGGTCCTCTCCTGTTCAGTGCTGTTCTCCTGCTCTATGATCTTTCTATGCATCATTGTCTGTGTTGTATAGTCGGGTCGTTCTATAGAAGCCCGGTTTATTTTCTTATTCATGAATGTTCTTCTAGCACAGCTTTAGATGCAACAGCCGTAGCAGCAGCATCAAGTTAAAACCAGCTTGTCGTCCCGGCATGTTGCTTAGGATGAGCAGCTGGTAGCGATAAAACACAGCTCTGTAATTCTATAGGTTCTGTTTTTAATGTTGTCATTGAAAGTCGCTGATGTTCTGTGATGGTGGGATCCTTCTGCTTGCTTTCAATAAAAACTATGTTTTGGATCTTTGAAGAGGTTTGAAAATATGTCCAAACCTTCAGATGCTGTTAGCTGAGATGAGTCCAGTTCAGGTCTGTTTGACTCACACTTTCACACATGAAAAGTTCTAGAATAACAGAGATGTTGCTCCTCCGACTAGAACGAGGGGGGTTAAAATTCTGCCTGCAAACTAAAAAAAAAATGTGAAGATGGGTTCAATGTTGATGGACGATTTCCCAATTTGTCTCATTCAGATATTTCAGAACCGTAATAAAAACAAGAAACTGCTTTGAAACTATAATTTCATTAATGAACAAATCTGTCCCAACTAAACCTTGGCCCAAAATAAGAAGGAATTTTGATCAAATCCACTCTAAAGAACTGATTAAATTCAGACATTGAAAGAAAGAAAACAGCAACAGACTTTGACTAGGCCACTCTGAAACCTTCACTAGTCTTTTTTTAGCCACTCAGATGAAAACCTTGGTTGGCTTTGGATCCTTGTTCTGCTCCAGAACCCGAGCAAGGTTTAGCTAAAGGTCTGAAACTGGTAGCTGGACTTTCTTCAGGGTTTTGAGGAGTCTTAGTGTTCTTTTTGATCTCTTTCTAAGATGTTTCAGCAGTTAATATTTCCCTTGATCAATGGAAGCAGGTTTTATTTTGCCTCTGGTCCTTTCCATCTGATAAACTTGTTGACTCTGGAACATCTAGATCTCACATCAATCACAACACAACCGCATTTTTAATCTTTATATACTTTATTTCTTTGGGAAGCTTTCATATTACAGGATTTCTTCCATATTTAAGCTCAGACAGCATCAATCCAAAACCTTTGAGCTCAAAACTTTAGCTTTATTATCAACAGTTTAACGGCGTCTGCCTGAAAGAGAATAATTAAGCCTGCAGGATGCAGAAGGATAAGGCATGGAGGTACAGGAGAGAAAGCAGAGCAGCTGCAGAGTCCAACGCCTTCTCTTCATGTACCATAACGGGTCAGTTCTCTCAGAACAGAATTCTGTCTGAGCCCAAACTAACCAAGGCATTCACACACACTCAATGCAGCAAAGAAATAAAAAATAAAAAAGAGGTTCTGATCTGATGAAGTCTAACCCTGCATCATTACTGAGATTGCTCCTCTCAGCTCAGAGGGGAAGGCAGGAGAAGAACCACCGGTTCTCCAGGAGCAGCTTCTGGGCTGGTCAGAACCGGCTTGTTCTCTACATTCACTCTGACGCAGACCAGCAGAACCAGAGGGCGACAATACTGACATCTGGGGGTTAACCCAACTTTTTCCGCTCAGAAAACCCAAAACACGTAAATACAACCAGAATATTTTGACTTCTGCTGAGGGGATCGAACCACTGTCCTCATGTCCCTGAAGGCCGACTGTGAGAATCCCTAAGCGCTACAGTAATTATCAAATGTGGTTCTGTCAGGAACCAATAAGGCAGGAGCTACACTGAACTGCATCATGGCAAGAAAAGAAGGAATGTGTGTTCTGAACCCGGGAAATAAATACAAACATGAGGGAAACGGAGGGAGGGGGGAAAAGAGGCGATGACTGAAAACCAGCAGTCATCTCGTTTCCTGCTCCGTGCTGCAGAACCACACCATCACCTTCTTGTTCTAAGGCCACTGTTTATATAAAACAGGTTTTAAAAAAAAAACACGACAAACAGGAAGTCTCGTCAGCTCAATCCAAACGCTCTAATGCTGGTTGCAGTGTCTTAAGCTAATTCAGAAGGTTCTGCCCTTGGAAAACAAAGATGGCGTTCTGTGTGTGGGCAGGGGTGGAAACAACCATCTTAACCTGCTGACATCACATCAGTGTGTGGAAACAGAAACTTTGGCTTCAAGGGTTCCTCCATGACAGCAGCCAGCAGGGGGCAGTGTTATACACATATCCTCCATCCAGAAAGAACTCGTTCATGCTTTAGATGAGGATCTGAGCTGTAGAGAAAAAGGGCCTGGTGAGTCAGCGTGGTGGATGACTGGACCCGTGATGTCATCGTCTCGTCCTCAAAGAGCGGTGCTCTCAGTGTCCAGGTTGCAGGAGGTGGTGGTGGCCATCATCACTGGCTGCTGGTCCACAGCGAGCTCAGGGATCAAAGCCCGACCGAGTCCCTTTAAAGACACCGCCGGGTCTAAAAGGCAACACAGAGGAGCAGAGTGACCAGGAGGAAGCAGAGGAGCACAATCCATAGACAGCTTTACTAAAGGAAAGTTTTCAGATTTTCTTTCGTTACAAACAGAAACCTCCATGAATTCTTAAAGGTATAGCGGAGGATGTTCTTTTTCTTGCTGGATCGTCAAAATAATTAGTCCTATTACTTGTCAATCATTCTGGTGATACGTTTACATAAGGCCGTCCTACGTGCTCGTCCCCATTTTCACTTAACGGGGGTGAGTCTAACAGAGTGGAAAAATTGCAAATCTTCTTTTGGAAAGTTAGCTTGTATGAGCGATGCAAACAGCAACTTTTAAACAGAGTGTGCACGGTGATGTGTTCCCCAACCAGAGATGGTTAAACACAAGGATCTACCTGCCCTTACAAAATGTGAACAAACGTGCAGCTTTAAAGCTGTGAGCAGCACAGACGCTGTTCTGTCATTCGAACAGCAGGTGGCAGTGTTCTCTCACAAGAGGTGAGGATCAGAGCATGAAAGCAGAGAAAGCAGGTCAGAATAGTGAGGTTTGGTGGATGTGATGAGGAGGGAATGGGATGGAAATCCATCGTATGTCTTTAGAAAGACAGAGGACACCCAGCGTCCCGCACTGGCCTCAAAGCTCTGCTCCCACCTCTGATGGAGATTAAAAATGATCAAATGAATCAGTTCAGATCCACGTGTGAATCCTGTAATCTGAACAGAATGTCTTCCAGATGATGTGGAGGTTCAGGGAAAATGGTAAATGAAGGTTTTGATGCTGCCTGGCTGCATCATGGAAACATGGAGCCTCTTCTGGCTCCAAAACAGACATTTCTGCTATTTAATACTCAATTATTTAGACCTCTTCAGATTTATAACTTTGAGCTAAAATCATGAGGATTTCCAGTCTCATAAAGAGGATGTGAGTCTTCAGGGTATTTTATTTTATTTTTTCAATTAGGCTTTAATGTGTAGCAAAGGTCTGATGGAAATTAATTCAGATTTTTTTTTTTCTGTATTCTGTCCTGTTATTTACAAAGAAAATTTGAACAGAAGCAGAATAAGGTTTTGAGATTTGAGATTCATTATTGTCAAATTTCTGGTGTTTAATAGCTGCGTATTCAAAGCTGAATGGAGATATAGTTTATCCTGTCAGATTTGCTGTCTTTGAGTATTAAATCTCAGGAGGACTGATGAAAGGAGACAGTCCAGCTTCAGGACTGGGACAGGAGACAGAAAATGGTGACTGATGGGGAGCAAACAAGGTGCAGAAGGTACCAGGACATTTTCTACAAACCTCTCAGTGCTGCTCTAACCTGTGGAAGCATCACAATGTGAGACTGTTAGACAGCCGACCGTCAGTATTCAGCAGGAAGTCTGAGACATGCATCGGCTCACAGAGACACCTACCCATCGTCTTGAAGGCGGCGGCGCAGACCCCGTTGGAGTCGCTGCTCAGGGTGCTAGGCTGCGGCGGCGGCGGCATGTTGGGCCTGTTTCGAGGTTTGGGGATGGGACGCGGTCGAGGAAGTGAACCGGACTGGTAGGGATACGGGGACGGAGGAGCAGCTGCTTCCTGGCCAGTGTTTGCTGCTGTGGGAGGCGGAGGGGTGTCAGGAGGAGTCGGCGTGTTTGGAGGTGAAGGCTCCGTGAAGTTGGGGGTTTGGGTGATGGAAGCGGGCTGCGCCGGTGGGCTGGGGTGGGTCGGAGGTTCAGGAGGGGGATGGTTGGGTGCGTGGATGGGAGGCTGGTTGTTGGAGTGGCGCCTGGGCGTAGCGCACGGCTGTGGGGTGGGAGAGGAGGGGGAAGTGGGGGAGTGGCTGCTGAGGGGTCTGGATGTGGGGCTGAGGGACTGGGATGGTCCAGAGGATAAGGTTTGGTTGGCCGGGTTCAGAGGCTGGCTGGGTGGAGGGTTGGGTGGTTTAGGGGGTGCAGGCGCCTGCTTCTTGGTTCCTGGAAAGACCAGAGGACATGCTTAGGACATCTGAACGTCTCTTACACGTCCTGCCTTCCTGATCACATATGAAAGAACGCCGACTCTCACCTCTACGCATCATGTGTGGACTGGGCCCCATGGATCCGGTCCCAGACGTTCCAGACGACCCGCCTCCTCCAGAACCGTTCTTCTGAGGCACAGAAGTGGGCGCTGGTGCCGAGTCCCGCAGCTTTGGGTTGCTTTAGAAAAGAACACAAAGATCTCAAAGTCTCACCCAGATTTGCTTTTTCCTACACGAGCTGTAGGACAACAGATCCAGTACAGTCTGACTGATACAGGCAGTTTAAGCCAGTCTTTGCTGCCTTCCTGCTGATTCCTTGGATTTGGGGAGGACAGAGGTAAACATGTGTCCTCAGTGACCGATAGCAGACAGACAGAAGCTATTGTTCAACTTCTTCTGTGGGCCGACTTCAGACAAAACTCCATTGTTTCATCTAGCGGTGGAAAAGGACTGATCCAAAGTGAGGAAGAAGAGATAGAAATGTCCTGAAGTCAATCAGCTTCATCACCTTCGACATGTCTATCTTCTACACAGTTTTTTCACTTCTAAAAACCAACCTTTTTTGTTCTTATTGGGATTTAATATAATAAACAGACAAAAATAAAAGATTACCTACAATCTAAACCTGCTTATTAGCCTGATCTCAACACAGGGAAATCTGACGCCATCACTCAGGGGAAGTCTGTCTAAAGCCATGTGGAGGATGACCCAAGAAAGGTTCTCTGTGGTCAAATGATACTAAATCTGAACTTTGACCTAAATGCAAAGTGTTAGAAAACAAATGGAACAGATCTCTTTCATGGAGAGGTATGATGGAACAACACACAAGTAAAACTAGAGGTTGCAGACGGACTGGGACTGGGGAGGAGCTTCACCTTCCGGAAGGACAACAATGGAGGGTTTGGATCAAGGCCGGCTCATGGGTCAAAGTCCAGATCTAAACCCACAGATCTGCAGCCAGAGCTTTTAAAAGGCATGAATCTCTTTTTCTCCTTTTAACACCTAAAGTGTTCCTGCCTCTTGGTGATTTCCAAACAATCATGTTAAAGTTTGTGGTTGGACTTGTGAGAACAGGACTGCACATCAAACCAACCTGAGCCTTGCAGCTCAGCAGGCATCTGGATGTCAGTGAAGGCAGATCTACACTATAATACAAACGCTAAAAGGATAATGGCATGCACATCTGACTGACAGCATGCAGGCTCATTCCCACCAGGAGCAGACGTGCAGGGCAGCAGCTCTTACCTGAGTTCCTCTGTGTGCTGGGCTAGAAGCTGCTGAGCAGCTGCCAGAGCAGCCAGACCCTGCACCAAGCTATGCTGAGCAGCGTCCTGCCCTGACCCCCCTGTTGTAGGTTGTGGCTGGGCTTCAGCCGAGGACTGAGGGGCCTGGCCGGCCCCGTGCCCCAGCATCTGAGCCTCCACAGGGGGTAAAGGAGGCTGGAAGGCAGGTGAAGTGTGCTGTTTTCTACCTAAGGTGTTACTGCCTCTACGAAGGGTGTGGTCCGAGTGCTTGTTAGAGGCACTACAGGGGGGGCGGCCGGGGGGAGTGTGAAGAAGAGAGAAAGAAAACAACAAAGATTTATCCTAAAGCCACAAAAAAAGACCAGGATCCCTAAACCCCAAAGACACTGAAGCAATAAACTGTGGATCTAATTAAAATGATTATTCTGGGAATGGAAACAACGAGGAATAAAAAGCATAGAGAAGGCTTCTAGAAGGAAGCAGCAGATGGATTTTTACTTGTCTTTGCGAGCAGGGTCGTTCTCTGGTCCCACCATACTGCCAGGCCTCTTCCTCTCTATGGTGCTGCAGTCATAATCCAGGTGATTATTGTGGTTGGATGCAGGTGTCGGCATCACAAACATACCGGAAACATTAAACTCTATATCTGTAATAAAATACATTTAAAACAAAGAAAAGCTTTTAATAAAGAAGAAAATAATAGGGATGTAATAAAGTATCAACTGATGTTGGACAAATTCCCGAAGGCCAAACACAGGAGGCGCGGTCGCCATGGGAGCAGCAGATGCAACGATGAGCCAGAACTTACCCTCAGGGAAGAACCAGTCAGCATGCTGGATGATGGGCTCGATAATGGCCACCACATGCACTGAAGTAGCTGCAGCCATCTCAGCCAGACTCCTGGGTGTGCAGGAAGAGGCAAAATAAAAATCAGATGCTTCCTAACAAACAGAGAAGCTGACTGAACTGTGTAGGAATAGAAGCATGCAGTGGTCTGCCTACCCTTCAGTCTTGGCCCACAGCAGATTGGGTCCAAGGACGATGGAAATATTGCTTGGTGTCATTTTGTTCACCTCGCTTTCCTGAGCTAGTTTGGCCAAAAACTTCACCAAATACCTGCATAAAAAACATGCCGTCTGTTAAGCAGCAAAGAAACTTGAACTGTTGATTAAAACTAGAAAGTTAAGGTAAATTAACCTCAAATTGTTTTTGTTGTTCTTTGGTAGGTTATCACAGACCATCCAGAGTGCCTGCAGCCGTTTGTCTGGGTCTGACACACTACAACCAGAGGAGAGCAGAAATACGTTGCTTTATTAGCCTCGGCTAAACTGGACTAAATCTATTGAGTTCTGAGTCTTACCTGGAGGCCTGGATCCATTCATCGTAAAGCTGGTAGGTCATTAGGGGTTCAGGGAGTTCCCGCAGGTAAGACTTCAGAGCTCCTGAGGAAAAAAACAAAAAAACAAACAAGAGGATTTTTTTAGCAACTGAACAGATATTTGAACCACTTTCGCTGTAATTCAGAGCAGCGTCTCTTTTTGGTGATCACCTCTACATGTGTTATAAACTGAGCGGATTTAATTTTGCAGTCTTGTGACATTGATTTCCAACACAATCCTGCTTTCTCTTTGGATAAAAATACAGTTTTGGTCGAATAAATGAGCACACGGGATGCTAGGCCGTTGTGTGATGAGTTTGGGGCATACCAGCGACGGCATGGGGGTCGGAGTAGAACTCCTCCAGCTGTGAAGTGGAACAGTCCAGCGCTGCCTTTAGCTTCTTTAGCTTTGATGCCCCAGCTGCAATCCTGAATAGACCCTAACACACACAGAAACACATGAGCAGAAGCAAACAAACGCATGTGCACACAAGGCAACATTGTTGTTGTGAACACAGCGTCGCAGATATAGTCGGTATAGATCCGTGCTGTAAACTCCATCTGCGGCATAATGAATCAGGCAAACAAACACACCCTGCAGCCTGAGCACAGCCACGTATTTACTTTCGAACAGACAAGGTCTGTCCTCACCTCATAATGACAGAGACTAGACTTGTCAGGAACGGAAGACGGCAACAAATGAAGAAGTTTGCCTTACAGTCTGTTACACAGGGACAGACGCAAAGAGATGTGATTTATTGACAGGAGACAAGTGTATTGTATTGTTTTCTAAATCGGGCTCTGGAAGGAGACATTTGACAGATCATAAATCCTCTCTGCAGCACAGTGACTCACCATGTTAAAACTAAAGAAAAAAAAAGTCTGCTTTTCATTTTATTTCCTATCTTAATGTGAAGGTGAAAACATTTCCAGCTCCTTCTGAACTTGTCAGCAATCAGTGCTGCAGCCAAGCACAGCTCCAGCTCCATGTTGCTCCTAATGAGACACGTTTGAACTGTGTCAGCGGTTCAAATAAAGAACAAGGAGTAGATCCAGCTACTGCAGGAAGCAAGATGAGAAACGACATCTATGTTCAGCTGCTAACATTTATCTTACCTTAAAGCTGCCGAGAACAGCAGCAGCTTCTTAAAAACAGCTGTAATGCATCTGAAATACATCAGGCTTTTATAAAGTCTGCAACATTCACTTCAGATAAGCTGGAAGCAGCAGCTAACAGAGGAAAATAACCCTTATTTGGTATTGCGTATTCTTCCACATCCAAACTTAAAAATAAGATAAAACTATTAAAACATGAGTTAATCATAATACATTTATTTAAAATATGCAGCAAGAGGAAAACAATTCAAGATATTTACTTTATTTCTGTTCAAAATTTTATAATTTTCTTTGTAAACTTTTAAACTGGTGGCACTGATTTAGACCAGCAGAACATCTGTTTTTTATCACTTATAGATGGAGCTGAGATAAGAGAAAGATATGTATCTCTCAAAAATACAGATTTACTAACATCTCAAAACAAAGAAGACATTTTAGCACTACATATTAGCCATTAGCATGATTGGTGCAGTCAGCATTATACAACCACAAGACTCCATGTGAGGCGATTCTTATCAATGCTCACACTGGGATCCACATTTTATCACTTCTGTTCTGATTCCAGTCTGGTAACAGATCTCTGCTGACTTTATTATCATCAATAATATTGATTTATTTTTTATTTCTGTACTGTAATAAACTTATCCCTACAGGTGAATATGTTTGAATATGTTTCTTAAGAAAAGAAAGACAGGATAACAGTCAAAAGTTTAAAGAAAAAAATCCCATCCTAACAGCAAACATGCAAATTAACTAATCTTTGAAATTTAGCGATACTTAAAACATCAGTACCTTAACTTTGTTTCAGTAACATCTTAATAAACTCCATCTAATTCTATATGTATAGTGCATGAAAAGCATAATTTTTATTTTTATTATTCTCAAACAGCTCCCATCAACAAATAAAATACGATTTACCTCATGTTTATGGTACACATTATATATACTGACTCAGTGATAATTTACATTTTTTAAATATACTATATGTCTCATTAAAGCTGCCTCTGTTTACAGAGCAGGAAATCCACTCCACAGTTAGCAGCTAGCGAGCAGAGCAGCTGGCAGAAAGTCTGCAGATTTATAGCATTAAATCCAAAAGCATAGACGTGACTGGTGGGTTGCTGGATCAGAATTTTCCAGTCGGTCCTTTGGTATCAGAACCAGATACCAATCCTGGATCAAATCGGCCCCATCTCTAGGTCCATAAAGAGTTTAAAAACAGAGCAACTTGGGTCTTAAAAGACGTGGGTTATATAAGCATTTAGCCTTCCTGTTATCTGCTACAATTCTAACTCCCTCTGGCTTGGTAACTTCTTCCCTCATTAACAGCATCTAGAATTAAGGGTGCTGCTTTTAAAGTTGGTCTCTCTTTAATGACAGGAAACTCAGTTAAGGTTCAACAGTGCCAACACCAGCTCTCTCTTTCTGGGCCACATGAACATCAGTCCGCTTTTGCAGCCCTGGTTTCAGAGTCCTTTCTGCTTTTTCTTAATGTTTATTCTGATCAGAGCTAATCTGCTGTCTGAATGATGTTCTGTGATACCAACACACGTGATGCTGTGGAAGGAATGTCTCTGATCTGGTGGAAACCAGTGGTGCCAATAGTATGTAAAGTCTGAGTAATCAAGCATGAGCTCTGACCACAGACCAAAGGCAGAAACAAGACTTAACATTTACTGTTTTCAGAAGCAACAAAAACAAAGCCTCTCCAGCTGCCCCAAAGGATCACAACTCATCCAAAATGGCAGCAACTTTAAAAAAAAACTGGTTTTAATTGGAAAGTCTAATTTCACCAGATAACACTCTTATAAATGAGGGATGTTCTGAGAGAAGATCAGCCTTATTTCAGCTTCCAACTCACCTCCTCCTTCATGCCGGTCTCCAGAAGCATCATGACGCAGGCCTCTATCGGTAGAGCGATCTCTCTGCCACTCCTCTTCAGGTGGTCGTCCAATGCGGTTCCAAATGCGGGTTTTTCCATCCAAGAGTCTGAGCAGAATAGTTATTGGTAAAAGGAACATGAAAGGAAACATTACAGCTGCTTTAAAGAGCAGTTCTTTTCTCAGATTCAGGATTCAGTAGCAAATCCTGGGTCAAAGACTTTCTTTTCCCCAATGTTTACTCTTCTAAAAGACAAACATACTATCTGAGAGCAGGAGGGACACAGAGGATTCTCTCCATGTTTAAAACTATGTGAAAATAAGTAGGAGACGAGCAGAGGGGGAACAGAGTGAAGGGGAAAACCAGGTGGGCATAAACTGAGAGAAGGCTGGGGTTAATGTGAGTATGGAGTTAGTGAGTCATCGCCTCATGCTGGGACAATGGGTGGTTCTGATTCAGACCGCATCTGTTTTGTGCAAAGGGGGAAAAAAGAAAAGCTAGAGACCAATCAGCCATATGTTCTGAAGGGCAAAGAAACGAAAACAAAATCCAAGTCTTTCCATTTAGATCATGCATTCATATTAATCGTGAGGCTGTTAAAAATGAAACTAGTATATTTGCACACATTTTACCTTGCTGAGCCTGGATGGTGGGCAGGACGCTCTCCAGTACAGTGAGAGACTTCCTGTGGTAGTCAGCCTGAACCTCTAAGAGCTACAGAAACACAGATGAACAGAGAACAGTGAGTGTTCACAATGGACAGTCCCACCATGAAAACATTTGGGACATGATGACCTGCAGCACTCACCGTTACAAAGTAGTGGGCATAATCTCCTTCTTTAGAGAAAAAACTGTACATGTCTGCAGCAAGCTGATCCTGTTAGAGCAAGAGGAGGGAAACAGATCATTTTTATTCTAACGAGTCACAATATGTGTGAAATGAAAGCTAAAAATATAACAAATACACAAAACAAAAACAAAAAAGAAGTATGATTGTCTTTTACTGCTGGCCTTAGTGGGATTTTACCAGAAGATGACATATTAGTACATCTTTATTGAAAGATGCACTAATGTTTCATCTTCATTAATGCAGAAAGAGGGGAAAGTGTTTCAGAGATGTTTGAAAGTGTGGCAGGTTTTTGGATTCAACCCCTTTAGACTCCAATAAAATAAATCCAGGCCAACCAGTCCAGAGACATTATAAACACAGCAGCTGTTCTGGTTCTATTATTCTAGTCTCAGAGGTTCAACCAGCATGAAGACAGAGGAACCCAACAGACAAGTCAGGGAGAAAGTTCAGTTTAGAGCCGGGTTTAGTTCTAGAGCCTTAAACATCTCCTAAAGCTCTGATCAATCCATCATCTGAGCAAGGTGAGAGGATGGATTATCTGCAGCCCTACCAAGACATAGATGTAAACCTGGACTGACCGGCAGGACAAGGAGAGCATTGACTTATAGACGGAAATTATCTGGAATTAGGAGACCATAATTGATGTTTTTCCGTCTACATACAACTAACCGTAAACATTACCAACTAACACAGCATCCTTGATGTGGCGGTATCATGCAGCATCGAATCAACTTTATGGAAGAGCTGCAAGAAGGATCATTTGACGTGTTCTCTGCATGTTTCAAACAAGCATGTGTTTGTTGTCTTGCAAAATTAAGAGCTTCCTGGCCTTTATTAAGACGGTGAAAAAAGAAAGTGGCAGCATCATGCTGAGGGGATGCTGCAGTTCTTTATTATATATTCATCACTGCTGGGGGTGGCCTTCCCTCTGGAGGGAGGAGCCAATATGGATTTCTATTGGTCTACACAGATATTAGCAAAAACATTTTCTTGGCAAATAAGTGTGCGAAGAGTAAGCCTTTATATTGGGCTAGGATTCATAAGGTCTGAAATTCAGTTGGAAAAGAGAGCAATTAGTAAAACTCAAGCCTAAAAAAAACATGAAATTTGGGAAGAAAATTTTTAAATATAAAATCTCTAAAAAACAGTTGCAAATATATTAAATTTATTTAAAAACATTAATATGTGATTTTTTTATATAAAATGGAGAAAACAGAGTTACACTCAAAACCTTTTTTTTTATTAAAATGTTTTTCAAGTTTCCTTTTTGAAAAGCATTTTTTTTTTTTTTTTTATTTCCATTTATATTGTCTTGCAACAATAGTGAAACAAACACTCTATATTTCTTCCTCAGGGGGAAATGCAGGTGAAAAGTTACTGAGGTGGACATTCAGCTTTAACCTTCAGTCAGACAAACAATAGATGGCTTACAGTAGATCAAAGCTTTATCTGGGTTTAAAACGGCCTACTCAAAGTCCATATTTCAATACAACTTGGAATCTTCTGCAGGATTTGAAAACAGTTTTGTTGAAGGTGATGTTCTTCCAATCTGAGTGAGCTTGAGATTTTTTCCAAAGAAACTTTTCAGTGTCACAGTCGGAGATACTGTGGACAAACCCCACAGACCTGAACATGTTTACAAAAAGGTCTGATTCAGGAACACAAATCTAATTGATCTCCATTAGTGAAAAAAAAGTGTAGCATGGAAAAATCCGGTTAAAATGCACTTTTTTTCTGTAAGGTGGCCAAATGTTAAACATGTTCAAAAGATTCAAATACAAAGTTCTGTTCTCAGGCAGGCAGTTTTACTTTGGATCCACCGCTCAGATGTGAAAGAGAAGCTCAAGGACTTTCTGAACAGGAACACGTCATGTACTGCTTACTGCAAACTGAAGCCAGTGGTGTGTGCAAACACACAGCTGACCAAGCATTTCAATCATTTAAGCTCGTCAGCATTAAGAGGTCTGGGAAACTGACCACAGTCATGATTTCCTTTCCAGCTTTATGTTCTACTTTGTTTTTATTAAGACTATGGAGGCTGTAAAAGTCACTAATCAAGCCAGTATCCAGCAGAGGTAATCAGCTCCAAACACTAGCATCATCAGCTACTGTTGATTCTAACCTGCATCTAACTTCATGAAACGTTTCATCAGCCTGAGTAGGGCTGGGTAAAAAAATTGATTTAATCAATTTTGAATCGATTCCTTTACATTTTTGCAAAATCGATGTCTAGGGAAGAGATAGATTAGTACATGATGTTCACATTCAAATGAGCAGGAAAGATGCACTCAAGATTACTTCAAGCCAGACAGCTGCAAATATAGCTAATAGCTTGACTGAAGACATTAACAAATGGGGGCTGACCAGCAAGCACCCTGTAGTTGTTACAGACAACGCTGCAAATATGGTTTGTACAGTGGAGATAATGCAGCTCATGCATGAGTGAGTGAGGCTTCACTTTTTCACTTTTCACAAAAAAGTTTGCACTTAGACAGTTTTGTTCACATCTCAAGCTTAAACTATCTGATTTACAAGTCTGCACTTTGTGTTTAATATGACAGGAAGAAATAAAATACATGAGTATTTTGAAACACAGTTGAACCACTTTCATTATAGTAAAAACAAATCAAATCGAAATGAATCGATTTACAACTTTATTAATCAAAATCGAATCGATTCAGGACTTTGGCGAAAATACCCAGCCCTAGTACTGAGGCAAATCTTTGCAAAGAGGTGAAAAGGTTCGACTGATCAATGTGATGATCAGGTTACAATTTCCATCAAGAAGCCATCTGTGTTTTCATTGGTTACCTTGCAAAGCTCTACTTTGTTCATGGCCTCATCCACCTCCTCCTTGAGCAGGTCAGCCTTGGCCGTCAGTGCTTGAGTGTTTGTTCCTGAGATTATTGACTTGGTTGCCTGCAACCACCTGAACACAGAGGTGAGACAAACAAATCCTAACTTTATAAGCCTTTTGAAGCATCTAGTTAATGAGAACAAGACGAACCTCGCTCTAGCAGAGTCGTAGTCCAGTACCAACTTGGCCAGCTGTTTCCTTTGTTTCAGGATGTTGGGAATTTCTACCTGCAGTAATCAGACAGAAATGAAGCCAATCACAAGCTTGCCTCAGAGGCTACACCCCCTCCATTCAATAACTCATTATTGAACAACTCAGAACATCATCCTGAAGGTGGCATCACTTCTTATCTACTAGATCATAGCAAACCATGAGTCTATCTTAGAGTAAGTCGGACCTCTGCGAGCTGGCTGAGTGGGTCGAGAACTTCCTTCTCCATCTGCAGCTCATGTTGCATCAACTCTGTGGCCAGACGGTTCTCCACTTCTCCACACACCTCCATCATCTTCCTGCAGAACAAAGGAGCTCGAATCAAATCTTATGAATTCATTGTTTCACATCAGCGCTGCAGTAAACTCTACATCTTATGGCCCAAAGCCGTGCACCAACGCACACCGAAAACAGTCCAACTATATCTGCCATCGTAATGCTATCTGTCATAAAAAAAGCTAAAGGGAGACGCAGGCTTGGTGACAGCTGAGCTCTGATCCTGACTCGGGGATCAGGAGACTCGCCAACCAGCCGTCACACCTCTCATCCATCAAAAGCTCAAAAATCGACAGCAGGTAGCAAACTTACCAAAGACGCTGGAAAATATGCATGAAAATAAAATTCAATTAAGACTTATTTATTAATTCCTTCTGAGAAAAACAAAGGGGTAATTATGCCCCCCATTGAGGTCTGTAACAATTATTTTGTTGTGGATTATGTCAATCTGTATGTATTTTTTTAAGTGATCAGAGTATCTTTGACCTTTTCAAGCATCATCTTCTGGTCCTTTGGGTAATAACTATAAGGTGATACAGAGGACATCTTTAACCAGTCTTTAAAACAGGAAAGAAAATAGTAAATTCAATAAAGCAAAAATATGTTGATCTTAAATAAAAAAAAAAAAGAGTTTGTACTTTAAACTCTCCACAACTAAAGGTAAATGAGCATCACTGCTGCCAGATTAAGTAACTGGAATTGATCAGAAAATAAAAAAAAAACCTCTTTCCTTCAACTATAAACCTTTTAAAGCCATTCAATAGCCATTTTCCTTTTGTTTTTAATCAATAAAGCAAGAGAAATATGTTTCTGTTTGGTTTTACTTTTCAAACTTTGACCCGTTTATCTCATTGTGAATAAAACCGTGACTTTGCTGGCTCAAACCCAAAACTATGCGGATCAGATTTCACACGGTCCAGCAGCTTGTTCCGTTACTCATAGCAACAGTAGCTAAACAGACGCTACTGGAAGTCCGTCGGCTTTACACTCACCCAATCAAAGAGTCTTCTCCCAACTGGTTTCCTCCTTCCACCATTGCCTGGGACAGTGCAGTGAGAGGAAGCTTTTTCTGTGGTGAAAGAATAGAGGCAGGCGGTTATTAAAATCTGAGCATAAACAACAAGAATCTTCAGGATTTAAAGATGAAGCCAATGGAAAGTCCATCTAGAGGTTCTATTGAACAGGTCAGCAAAAGGAAGAGAGGAATACGAGTAGGAAAAAATGTGGTGAATGAAATTTCAGAGATGAGATGAAGAGCCATCGATAGAATGCCTAATGATGGAGATTGTTCAGATAGCTGTGCTGAAGATGTCTGAGTCAAGCATCCTGTTTTTGATCCAGAGTTTCCCAAAGTGCCATGCATGGTGAACAGATGCTGAAATGGAGCAAAGTGCTGTGAGGGCAGAGGTGGGTGTTATTACCTGACCGTTTCCTGTATAGAGGCGTGGTACAGACTGTGGTGCGTTTGTGGTTGGTGTGGGGTCAGAAAACAAAAACAAAACAGACATCATGGAACGTTCCGCCTACTTTGGACTCATTTAAAGACATCTATCTTAACAATAACAAACGGGTAAAAAGGAAATCCAGGTATTATTTAAGTAACATTCCAGGATATTGTTTTTATCAAGTAAAGCCGTTTGCTAATTGAGGCTTTGGTGTGATAAACTTAGACTCACGTGTCTCTTCTCTGCCTCGGCACCGACGTGTCCCTGCAGACAGGACACCATCTTTTTGTGTGTGTTGTGGGAGACAACTCGCACCAACTCCATGCGTCGCTCAATCTGTCAAAAGATGGGCAAGAAAAAATAAAACTCACAAAGGGCTCATTTAAACCTCAAGTTTAAGCTTATTTTAGGGGTTTAATGTTATACATCAACTTAATTAAGTGGATTTTTTTTTTTAAATTAGAACTGAATTTGTTGCATTATTTTAGGTTTTAGAAGAAACTCCCAAGCTTTAAGCATCTCCCAGTGCTCTGTTCAATCCATCAGAACATGGAGAGGCCTAAGAAGACATGGATGTCCATCTAGACCAGGGGTAACCAATTAAAAATCAGCGGCGTCCGGATAAAGAAAATCAACAACCAGTAAAGGTTTGGAGACATTTTTAATTAAAATCTGTTACTTTAAACAGAATTTAACACTGAATAAAATGAGGTGTTTATGCATCCATGTTATACATTGATTTTTTAAATAATAAAATATAGAAAAAAATATAAACTTTTTCCATTTTAAAATCTAAAGTGTTTTTTGAAGTAGAGAACAACAATCGTTCAGTTTGTTATATAGACAATTTCCTGACTATTTTATATTTGGTTAATGAGAGCAGTGGGCAGCTTAAGACTTCAAACCTGGGTTTGAATGACGACAGAGCCATTCTCAAGCCATTCGTGAGCTTATATATTCCCAAAAACTAAGACCGTTTGTTTAAATGATTGGATGCAAACTATTTGTACTTCAACATACCAGGAAGCAGATTTCTCATCTCGATCAAAATATTTATTTTATACTAAGAGGCTTAAAAGTTCCAGCAAATCCAATCAAAACGCCCAAGAGCACCCCTCACAACTTAAAAAGAAACTTCTCATCTCAGGCATGGATGAAGAGATGCTGAGTTTGGAAGCGGAGAACAAACATAGTTCATATAAACCATGTATGATCCTAATTATCCCCATTACAAAAATCCACAACAAAACAAAAATATTTAGGCAGAAACTGAACATATGCTGTCTGGATGATGGTGGGGATTTTTTAATATGTCATATTAAATTAAGCGCTCATTTCCGCATGTTTTGCTCCTGAATTTAATAATAATATAGCGCAGGCTCTGCTTGAGCTCAGAGGAAGTCGGAGCAGAGCAAGACGGGAGGAACAGCAGAGGCTGTAGGCTTTGCTTTGCACAGGAGGTCTGGAGCGCTGCAGGTGCGGAGCGGTGACGGAGGATGTGGGAATTCTGGGTTTGACACTGTCGTCAGACAACATGCAGTAATTTATAAATGTTTTAAATCAGGTTGGGTCAGGATTAGCCAGCAGGTGGGTCCGGATCCGGACCACGGTCCGCTAATCCGTGACCTCCAATCTAGACTGCCCAGCTGCACAAGAAGATCACTAATGACAGAGGCAGAACTAACACTGAACGCCACCAACAGATGAAACAAAGCGGTGGCAGCATCAGACTGTGGGGAGGAGTAGGAGCACAGATCAGGTCAATTTAAAGCAGGGTTGAATCAGACCCACTGAAAATGGCCTAGTCAAAGTCCAATCCAAAGTACAATTGAGAATAATCAAGCTCATGGATGTGTTTCCTCCAATGTGTCTGAGCTGACGGCATTCCTGGTTCCAATCCGAGCAGAGCAGGTCTGCCATGTTTGTTTCGCGGAAAGAACCAGAGTTCCTTTGTTAAGCTAGATGTAGCTAAACCTCCTAGCCTGGTAGCCTGTCTGGTAATCTGTGATCCCCCTTTCAGGAACTCGTATGATTTGTGATGAACCTTCAGAGGATGTTGGTCAAAGTGCAACCATGGTCAATAACCCTAATCTCTTGGCTGGAATTTAATCTGTGCAACACTTTAATCGTCCACATAACAGTGGCCATCTTGTTCTGACAGAAAGTAAAAGCGCTCTTTTTAGGCAAAAGGATCTAACACAGGCCTCCTCCTGTCTGGCAGCCTCACCCCTCAGATCCACTCAGTGCTTTAAGGCTCACAACACAGTACTGTCTTTGACTGAGGCCTGGGCCATTCAAACCAGAATACAGAGGTCACTGAAGCTCTGTGGGGGGGTATACAGTGGTCTTGTCCTGCCAGGTGGCTTTCAACATTGGAATGACTGCCACTGTCTGATGAAAAGATTTCAGACAGAGCTGTGTCGAACAAACATAAAGCAGTGAGATAACCTTCTAACAATGCTCCAAATATAGATGGGAACACTGGAGTCCAGAAGGAAACTTGAGTAAACTAGATGAAGGAAAATGAAGGGAGGATCAACTAAATACCAGACAATTGTGTTTCTACAACAGTCTGAACTGAGGAATTCCAGCACCATACACCCTGCTCAGTTTTCTCCTTTCTTTTTCCCATATCCTACGTCATTCCTGACCCCCACGACGGCCCTCAGCATTCCCTAAACAGCTGGGTTCTCTGCAGCACCAGCCAGCATCCTAAAAGCTGCACACACACATTGGTTTTAGACTTGGCTGTGCTATTAGGACTCGGAGCAGTGATCCATAAAGGGGATCTGTTCTTCCTGCTCTGACAGCGTCTCTGATCCTGTGGGGGATATGTTTGGATTATCAGCAGTATTCCTCTTCCTTTCATTGTAGCACTGAACGGCTCACACACACATAACACACACATGTAGAGGAGTGTTAAAAGAGGCGGCGAGCCAAAACGGCGGGCCGTGTTTTCCCCTTTGCTATGTGATGAGGTTAATCCCTGGTCAGTCTCCTGATGCGTCACAGGCCAGGGAATCCCAACGAGCTACACAGAGAGGAGGAAGACACGCCAGCAGAGTTTGTTTAGTCCCAGGGAAAACATGTCGAGACAAGTCCTAAACTGACATAATATATAAGCGGACACATTAAGCCCAGCCGCTGAAGGCAGAGAGGGTGAGAAAAATGAGAAATATTTTATATTTGGTTGTCTGCTGATAAATCTGCCTCAGTTATTAGATTAGATGAATCTAATTAACAAACTTGATGAGATGTGGAAATATTTGTGCTATGGGTAGATCCTGTGGTGTCCCAGGGAGCAGGAAGTAACAGCTGATCCAAACATGCTGGAACGCTGTTTGCCAGAATAAAGGACTGTGAATAACGGGGAAACCTTTCATTTGGGTGTGTCCACTCAGAGTTTAACTCTCCAGTCACAAGAATATCATAGACCTTAATTTTATAAAGTTATAATGTCAAAAACTTGATTTATCTTCCTTTAAATTTAATAAACTGTGGAAGGGAGCAGGAGCCAAGTTTGATGTTTGGTTATCTTTTTTCAAAAGAGTAACTGAGCAGGAAATTCTTAATCTATTATAAACTTTCATTTATGCGGACAAACTGATAAGAGTTTCCCTGAGTTCAGACCCGTCAGCCCCAGATTATGTCTGACTGTGATTGTTTTGTTTCTTTCTGTTAACTCCCCCTTAGACACCAATTCATTTTGCAGGTCCTGGGTTTTCATTCTGGGCTCTGTCTGCTTCTGTCCCTGTACAAAGATTTTCTGTCAGAATTCAAGATGGCAGCAGGGGGGCATAAACACTTTAAATGTTTGCATTCAGTCCTGCCCTGCTTTCTAAACTGGCTTCAAATAATGTTAAACCCTCCAGTGTAGATTAAAAATGCATCATCTTTGTGAGGGGAGTGTAAAATTAGATTTTTAACAAAACACAAAATAAACATTGAGTGTTTTGCCATTTAAACTAGGGATACATTGAGGTCTGGGTGTTTTGAAATCAGAGCTTCAGTTATTCACCGCCGAAACAATCAGCAAATTACTATTTATGGGTTATAAATGGCCTGTTTGATCTCAATGCTGCACTTGACCCTAAACTTCACTCTACCAGGGCCTGCAGTCAATTGTCTAACCTCTTCACTGAAAATACACAAAAGATCAGAGGGGTGGTCGGTAGATCCATATCAAGTCCAAAGCAAAAGTTGTCTCAAGCTAGAACTGATTTGGACAATAGAACTACAAAAAGCATACACCAAGATCTTCCTTCTGATTTTTTCATGTTTTACCCAAAGCTTTTCTTAAGAAAGTGCCTGTCAGTTTTGCTAGCATAACATTTAATTTAACTAAAATACTTAACTTGTCCCTTTTGTCAGGAGTTTTCCCCCAGGCCATAAATTATAATTATATCATTAAATTATAAAACAACTGTTGGAAAAAAAGAGCAAATTGGACAGGCAGCTCCTGCAGAACTAGAGGCCCATCTCAAACATCCTCTTTATGAGAAAGAATAATGACAAAAGCTGCTTTAACAGCTAAACAGCTTTTAAAAATGAACAGCTGCTTCTACATGTTCCAGTCAGGCTTCTGTGCTCACCAAGTTACAGCAACTGATGATCAAGGTGTTTAATGACGTCCATATAGATAAGTGAAAAGGGAAGTCAGAACACTGAAGGCGAGGTAGAGATTACAGCTAACCAGGAGTAAGACAGTAGTAAATGTGGGGAGATAATAGGAGTACCGCAGAGGTTCAGCAAAGCCTGCCTAGACACAAACCAATGGAGTTTGGGAGAGCAGGCCTCCGTCTCTGCTGCAAGTAATACGAAGAAACAGTCCTTCTGGGGCTAAATTAAAACAGCTTTTATAAAAGCCACCTTAAATCCTCTTAGAGCATTGCCACGTCTTCCTTTGTCAAAATCATTTTCTCTATCTTCCATATTTAGTATAAAATAAAATAAAATAAATTTAAAAAAAGCTAATATCTGCTGTGCTCCGTCCCTGTAACTCACAGCCACATCTACAGTCATGGCCAAAAGTTTTGAGAATTATTCAAATGTTAATATTTACAAAGTCTACTGCTTCAGGTTTTATAACAGCAATTCGCATATACTCCAGAATGTTATAACGAGTGATCAGCGTAACAGTAATTAATTGCAAAGTCAATATTTGCCTAGAAAATGAACTTTATCCCCCAAAACACTTTTCAACGTCATTCCAGCCCTGCCTTAAAAGTGACCAGCTAACATTGTTTCAGTGATTGCTCCATTAACACAGGTGTGGGTGGTGATGAGGACAGGGCTGGAGATCAATCTGTCATGATTAAGAATGACACCACTGGACACTTTAAAAAAAGGCTGGTGCTTGGCATCATTGTTTCTCTTCAGTGAACCATGGTTATCTCTAAAGAAACACATGCAGTCATCATTCCACTGCACAAAAATGGCCTAACAGGAAAGAGAATCACAGCAAGAAAGATTGCACCTCAGTCAACAATCTGTCGCATCATCAAGAACTTCAAGGAGAGAGGTTCCATTGTTGCCAAAAAGGCTCCGGGGCGCCCAAGAAAGACCAGCAAGTGCCAGGACCGTCTCTTAAAAGTGTTTCAGCTGTGGGATCGGGCTACCAGCAGTGCAGAGCTTGCTCAGGAATGGCAGCAGACAGGTGTGAGTGCATCTGCACGCACTGTGAGGTGGAGACTCTTGGAGCAAGGCCTGGTCTCAAGGAGGGTAGCAAAGAAGCCACTTCTCTCCAGGAAAAACATCAGGGACAGACTGATATTCTGCAAAAGCTACAGGGAGTGGACTGCTGAGGACTGGGGTAAAGTCATTTTCTCTGATCAATCCCTTTCCCATTGTTTGGGACATCTGGAAAATGGCTCGTTCGGAGAAGACCACCAGTCTTGTCTCATCCTGAAACCATTCATGTGTGGGGTTGCTTCTCAGCCAAGGGAGTCGGCTCTCTCACAGTCTTACCTAAAAACACAGCCATGAATAAAGAAAGGTACCAGAATGTCCTCCGAGAGCAACTTCTCCCAACCGTCCAAGAGCAGTTTGGTGATGAACAATGCCTTTTCCAGCATGATGGAGCACCCTGCCATAAAGCAAAGGTGATATCTACGGTAACTGGCTCAGGGAACTAAACATAGAGATTTGGGGTCCATGGCCTGGAAACTCCCCTGATCTTAATCCCATTGAAAACTTGTGGTCAATCATCAAGAGACGGGTGGGCAAACAAAAACCTAGGAATTCTGACAAAATGCAAGCATTGATTGTGCAAGAATGGACTGCCATGAGTCAGGATTTGGTCCAGAAGTTGATTGAGAGCATGCCAGGGAGAATTGCAGAGGTCCTGAAGAAGAGGGGTCAACACTGCAAATATTTACTTGCTGCATTAACTCATTCTGTCATTAAAAGCTTTTGTTACTCATAATATGATGGCAATTGTATTTCTGTATGTGATGACAACATCTGACATACACAAGTGAAAACAAGAGGGCAGCAGATAATGTGAAAATATAATATTTGTGTCATTCTCAATACTTTTGGCCATGACTATAGTCCCTGATGGGATTTTACGACGCAAATGTAAACAAAAGTTCAAATTGTTCAACTTCATTCACGGCAAAGCGGTGATCAAATGTCGCCAACATCGCCAAAATCATGCTGTTCGCCTCCCTAAATTTGTAACCTTCGCCCTGCTTTGCTTCGCTCCACATCTGCCCTCTTAATAGAGTAACAAGGGACTTCTTTGCTCCTGCTGTGGAATTTGTGTTTGGTGTAAACGTAACTTTAGTGTGCCTGGAAAACTGATAAAGCACTCGACTGGTTTAAGTTATACCTAAAGAAACACTTTTTTGATCAAAGGAAGAGAGCAAAAAAGTTCTGGTGCGTTTTCGGAGTCAAAACGCACCTTGTTTACTTGCAAAGTCTATGGGGGACGTGTCCAACGGTCCAGTGGCGCATCTGAGCGTCAGGAGCAGCGCAACCAAGCGTTTTGGCGTCTCAGCATCTGAGTATTCGAATGTGGAGTTGAGCAAATTGAACTTTTGCTGGACGTCGGAGCACCAACCAATCGGAGCACCAACCAATCAGAAAAGCGTAAACAGGGGTTTTGTGTTGGAAAGACAGACACTACCTGCAAGCTTCTGCATATGAAAAATAAATATCGAAGGGTTAAACTCCAAAGTAAAAAAAAATAAAATAAGCCGGAAGAATGGATTATTATGTACAAGGAAAAGAGAGTGAACTCTGATCATTATTGCTGCAATAAAACATTGTTTATGAACTATGACGAAACACTTTATTAATACCCAAATTAACTAAAAAAATTTTAATGAACAGAGCAGATAAAAAAACAGAGCGCCGCAGTGTCAAAGCACCTTGACAAGCTTCATACAGCGTCCTAATTTTGGCATTTAAGCGTTTTTGACGCCCGAAATGCTTTTGGAACACAGCATTAGTGTACAGTTTCCTCCAACACAGTCAGACCTGAACCTTCAGAGACTCATACAGGCAGCAGCAAAGTCGGCCTTCTATCACCTAAAGTACACCTCTAAGATTAAAGGACTATTGCACAAGTGTCAAACTGGTTCCAGAAAGGGCAGTGTGGCTGCAGGTTTTCTTTCCAACCAAGCAATAGCACACCAGACTCCATTCATCTCATCAAGTCATCATGTTAAGACTGGGCTCACTTGATGAAATGACTGGAGTCTGGTATTATTATTATTATTATTATTATCCGCATGAAAAGCTCTTCCTGCCACGGTTCCACTGAACAACCAAACAGATCTTTACATTTTTTTAAAAGTCCTTTGCAAAATGTTCTGAGCACAAAAGAGACAACTGGAAGTGCTCCAAATTCTCTCCATCTCATCTGACGTGCTCCAACCAATTTCATAGCAGCTCAGGATCCATAGGAATCTTAAATAAGCTGACCGCATACTTAAGCGGGTTGAAGCAAAAAGCTGCAAGCCAATGAGAATGCATAGGTGTATCTCACGCCTGTTTTCTTCCTAAGTCACTGTGCAGCGAGTCCTCTAAATGGCAGAAGTTCCAAATAAAACTATTTTATGTGGGAGCCCTTGAAATTACAATACTATTAATGAATATACTGGTACTCATCAATCAGTGATACAGATAATGCATGCTGGACTTGTCAGTATATCAATGACCCAGACCTTTCAGGTCTTCTGGATCATGGCTACTCAGCATACCCAGGAACCAGAATCAAACATGGCGAGCAGCTTTTAGTCCTTATGCTCCAATAATTATGAATAAAATTCAAAACTCATTGCAAAAGTTTTGAAACTAGGGATTTGAGTTATTGATACATTAATTAATCTAAAACTGACTGATCACATGATTAAACTTGACATATTTATAAGATAAAATATAACAGGAACGTATGGGGTTACCCAATAAAAACATTGAATATGCACTAAACTTATGTTTTTTTTTTGGTTTTTTTTTTATGTACAGAAACGTAAAACCATTCCTGAAATGTAGACCATATTGCTCTGACATGCAGGATCCTTTATTAAATCTTGCAACAACAGTTTTAATTTGGCGCATCAGTCTCATTCTTTTATCTTTTATTTTGGGAAGTCTCCCCCTCTGTCACTTTGTTCGTCTGCCTTCTGTTCCTCACACACCGATAGACACGTAAAGAGAGCACACCCCCAACACCCCGTCATTTAACAACAACTCCGCCGCTAGGCAAACTGTGCCAGTACATAGTTGTAGCAACCAAGCCTTCTAAAAGACAAAATACCGATGAGGAGAAGGGGGAGCGAGGATCTACAGCCCCCAGGGCCAAGAGAGAGTTTATTGAAAAATGGCACTTTTGGCAAAACTGTGTTATGCAAGAGACTGGCTTATTAATGATGATGATGCTAAGCTAATGAGCTGCTCAGTGTTCAAGAAATATGCATAAGAGAACAGACCCGATTAATTTGTTGCTGCTGTCAATCTATAAAGCTAGAGAGAATCGGTGCACACAAACACAGTAAACGCCGTGTCTCAGACTCAATCGAAACAACCTACGCCATAGCAACTGTGTGTGCGTAGATGGCTGTATCATTACAAACACACAAAGATAAAAATATTATTTAGCACTCCCTATCCCATTGGAAGAAAGGCTACACTTTTATTTATGGACAATATAACAAATGAAAATAATTTACATTTACACGTCTTTAAAAGAACACTTTTTTCAAAAAAAACTACATAACCTTTTACAGTACCTTTGTTTGCATTTGATATAATGCCTTATTGAAAAAACAAGCTCCTCACAAATACATGAGAGCAAATTTATATTGCTTTTTTCTGGCGGGTAAAATATGCATGGCCTGGATAGAACTTCATCTTCTGGTCCACTTGTGGCGAGTCAATAAGTTAATTTCGGACCCTCCTGAAGCGGCTGTAAGACTATTGCAACCTTTTTTCAATTAGGTAGAAAGCAGCTGTTTAGTAGATCCCTGTCTTTAGTGGAATCCAGCAATCAGTGCTGGGAGAGACGTGCTGTTAGCAGCTCTTTTAAGTCTGGGTTTGAGGAATGATAAAAGTTTACTCTAAAAGAAAAAAAAATAAACTTTTTTTAGATCCCTTGATTATTGCTAGCATCTTTCTTTTTTAACTTTCTAACTTGACAGCGTGACAATCATTTGGTCCTCCTAGCTCAGCTTGAAGCAGAGATGAGCCAGTAAAAAGTACAGAAAACAGTTTTCATGTTATCGAGAACGAAATAGTAATTTACCCTAATAACTATTTTTATAAAATTCCCTTGAGAAATTGCAGTTATAGCCTGACAGACGGGGCCATGTTAGGAAGTGGTTAGAGCTCCAGAGTCTGATTAATGATTTACCTGTAGGAGGTCATCACTGAGGACTTCTGTCTTCTCTGCTCTGTGGGTGAGAAAAAACAAAGAGCAGACAGATCAGTACAACACAGCAATGATGGTGCATCGGCTGATTCATGGAATATTTTGACTACAAACATCAAATCCCGCATATAATGTTCTGACTAATGTTCTGCTTGAGGACCATGTCTCTCTAAAAGACATGCTTATTTCTGGTAAATGACCTATAAAAGCCCTAACAACAAAGACATTATTGCAGATTGTAAAACAAAAGAACAAAGATGTGGCGTTTCCTTTATTAGCTTTTCTGTATGCTTTTATTTCTTTATAAGCAGCAGCTGTTCCCGCCCATGGTGTCATGCCCATAGTGACCAAACAGCCATGCGAATCCAGAGCCTATTAATAGTAAACTAACAGATGAACTTGAAGAGGTCAGACAGATTAGATTCAGTTAAAAGGAGCAGGCTGGGAAACACAGGCTCAGCTCAGTCTGCTTATCCAGACTAGTTCCCACACTGCAGACAGTTGAAGCTCTAAACTAAGCTGGGTTGATTATTGCCGGAACTATTCTAGAAGAAAAAAGTACTTGGCATATCAGGGATTATATCAATGTATGATCATACCACGATTGGATGGGTGTAACCGCATGTCAAAGTAAGAAAAAAGTTTTAATCGCCTCAATTATCCAAAGTTAACAACACTTCTCTACCATATATTGTGCAGGTTTTACTGTACCCAACTAATGCATAAACTTTCCACTTTAAAGCTAGAGACATGTAGACAGCTGCATACTGGGTACTGGAACTCTACTGTAGCCTGGGCCCTCCTCCAGCAGCTTCTCTGAACTCCAGTAACCTTTTCCCAGCTGCTTCCAATTACAACGCAGACACAGAGCAGGAGAAGAAAGAGAAAGTCTGATAGAGAAGCCTTCATAGTTGGAGACAGCGAGGAATAAGACATAGAAGTTGTTTGCTTTAAGAGAGTGGTTGGTTGGTTGTTGGGTGGGTAGGGAGGGGGATTTGGATTGTACAAAGTGCCAAGCAATAAGCTGGAGGTTTGAAATGAATGGAAAGACTTCTTTTATGGATTGGAGCCAACGCTGGGCTCATAAGGCTGCATCGTATAAAAGACAGAAATGAGATGAGAATTTCCAGATAGCTGTGAGGACTCAAGTCAATATGTCTGTCCATTTCCAACCTTAAACATGACAATGGTTTGTGTGGTTGTTAGGCAGTGTAACTCTCAGTTAGCTTCCACATTACGAAAGTCCTAGCATTTTAATAAAAACAAAAAGTCTGGGCCGCAGATGAAGGATGCATTAGAGCATGGGTCTTCAACGTTTTTTAGGCCAAGGACCCCCAAACTGATGGCGAGATCGAGCGGGGACCCTTAATTATATACATTGTGTTATATCAAACTGGTCCTATAGTCACTCTATTACAGATGAAAGGAAAGTAATTTCTCACATGGATTATTTAAGTATTTCTGATTCCGATTCCTGGTTGATGGGACAGGTGTTGTGAATGAAACAGTGTCCAGCTCTAAAGAGCTCCTGTGTGTCGCTGAACGTGTGCATTGATGACGTAAAGACATCTTCTGTCTCCATTTATCTGTTTACTACAGTGATTAAAATTCATGTTAATGTGGATTTAAAGACATTTCAATTAGTGAAAAAAATTGGACGGGGGAATATGAAAAAAAAAAGTCTAATCAACCAAAACTTTCGCGACCCCCATGCAGTACCTCCGTGGACCCCCTAGGGGTCGCGGACCCCCTGTTGAAGACATCTGTATTAGAGCATGTGAACAGAGAAGTACTAATTAGGAAATACAATATGCTGGTGAAGATTCTCAGTAATCCAGGTCATAGTCATTTTAAAAAAGTTGGGGGAAAAAAACAACAAAAAACAAAACAAAAAAGAAACAATCCCCTAGACCAGGCATCCCCAACCTCGGTCCTCGAGGGCCGCTGTCCTGCAGGTTTTAGAGGTTTCCTTGCTCCAGCACAGCTGATTTTAATTGAAAGCTGATTAACAGGCTTTTGGTCTACTGCCATCATTATAATCAACTGTGCTTAAGGCGGGAAAACTCTAAAACCTGCAGGGCAGCGGGCCTCGAGGACAGAGGTTGGGGATGCCTGCCCTGGACTATGTTTCAAAGTTTAAAGACATTTTGCTTCCCATCCAGGATGCTTGTTCAATTTAAAATGTCAGAAATAGCGTTGAGTTTGAGACTTCATATAACAAGGCTTTGTTTTGATACACTCTATAAAGCCTCGAACTCAACGACATTTCTAAAATTTTGAATTGAACAAGCTTCCTGGATGGGAAGCGAAATGTCTTCAAACGTGGAAATTAAGTCCAGTGGATTGCTGTTGTTTTTTTTTTTTTTTACTTCTTTGAAAATACTAGTTAGAAAGGAGGCAGGACAGAGAACGTGGAATATTTCTGTAAGTAACTGGCTTAACGAGGAAAAGCAGCCTCAGTGGTGGGCCTAAATGTTTTAAATGTACTACATTGATAAACAACTGTTAAGTTCCTAAGTGCAACGCTTTTTGCAGCCTAATTTTCATAGTTATTTAAGTATTAGAAAATAAACTTTATCCTCTGTTTTCGTCCTAAAGACTAAAACTAAGAGGGCTTTTAAAAACAACACTGTTTGCAGCAGATTTACAGGTGGTAGAGTAAAAAAGGCTAAAACTTTATAAAAAGAATAAAATAAATTAAACCCATGATTCATATTCTCTTTAATGCTTATGACCTCCTTCTTTTCAATCCATGACCAGAGCGTGTCACCGTAATATATCACCTTCGACAACAACAGAGCAGTATGACATGTTACAAAACAAAATTTTGGTAATATAATAACAGTTACTAAGGTGGGTAATGCTTTACCATCTAAACTGAACAACCAACGGCCAAAAGCTGTTTTATATCAGGAGAAGACAGTTTTTTATAAAAACAGAAGAAGGTGGTTTTAAAACAATAGAGGAGGAAGAAGAAGACAGAAATACGGCTTCAAGTGGCTTTACTCCCACTATTTTAGATATGTCCCCAAAATGGATAAGAACGTCAGAGTAAGATGCACTTTATGTGCTGGTGGGCGGGTGAGGGAACTGCCTAAGGCCATAAATAGCACAAGGAATCTCAAGAAACCCCTGGAGTGAGAGCACAGACACCTTAAGCTAGATGCTAAACGACTTGCAAACCTAAACAACAAAAGTTGGATTTCTCCAGACCAGAGGTGGAGATTTTGACTGAAGAGAAGTAAGAAGGCTGGTGGCTGAGTACAGTAAGTCATGGAGGATGTGCTGCCTCTTTATAAAGCTGAGTCGCCTGGCGTTTCAGAAGCTTGTCAGCAAAATCCCTGTTTGACCAAGTGACCAAGATAAAAACCAGTCTCTAATGATGTAGTCCTGCTGTTAGGGTCTAAACAAGTTTCCACAGATAGTTCATTAAACAGTAACAGTATAAACTACTGTCATGTTTTATTCCATAGAATGTGACTTGTTTGTTATAAAAAAAATCTTATTTTTCTTCTATCATAAAACAGAAACATGATCACATCTACACAATTATATTGGAACCTTATACTCCATAATCATACTTAAACTGTACTTAAAATTCCAAAAACAAGAAAGTCTTCCATCTTCTACAACATTTTAAAACACATAAAGTAACTACATAGAAGGACTGGGCAATTAATTGCAATTTACCAAATTGCATTTTTTAAGTGCAGGACAATACATATTAGTCATATTACCTTTAAAGAGTAGGTAGCTAAATTCATCCCTCCAGCCCTTAGCAGGTGGTAATGTGTTCAAAAGTGTATTGGAGCATTTTTGCTAAGTTTTTAAAAGACCCTGCTTTTCCATTTAAAAAAAAAGCACATGCAAAACCCTGTACCTGCTCCCACATGGGAACGCCTATTAAACATGTGTGAGAGCGTGCACGAGCCCATTTCTACTCGTGCATGCTCTGTTTAAAAGTTGCTGTTTGCATCGCTCATACAAGCTTACTTTCCAAAAGATTGCCAAATCAGTTTCCTGTTAGTGATTTGCCCTCTTTTAAACGCCGTTATTCAGTAAGTCAAATCAGGAGCATGTGCTCCAAGTGAGCCGCTACTTTTTTGGTTTGTTTGTTAGTAGCTCCGAGCCATGAGGGAGGAGATGCAGGGATGCAATGATAAGACGGTCGCTTGGATGGATCTCATCTCACCCATTTTTATATATAAAGTTTCTCGCAAATAAGACTACTGGTACATTAAAAAAATCATGACATGCTTGTATGCGTGTGCTGCATTTGAAATTTGGATGTGTTTGCGGGGTAAATAAGTATCTGCTGCCACCGTATAACTACTTACGATGCAAATTAAACTGCAGCTCACCACACGTATATGCCTGAAAGTTGGCATGCACAGATAAAGATTGCTAAAGGGTACGAGCATGAAGGACGGCCTTATGTAAACATATCACCAGAATGGTTGACAATTAGGAGGACCACTTTTTTTGATGATCCCCCGGAAAAAAAAAAAACCTCCTCCACTATACCTTTATAGTGGATGATGCATACACTGTGCGATTTTTTTCAATCGTTGCACGAGGCTACAGCTCTCAGAGTAAGACGAAATCACAGGGTTGTTCTCAGACTTTGCGACCTGATGCTCTGATGCGATCTTCCTGCTCAAACTGTAAGTCTAAACTCAGACATACTCTCAGCTCCGCAGTGAGATGATGCTACTCAGACTCGTCTATCCAGAAGCCACACAAGTAGATAAGGAATATGAAGCACACTAGAGTGAAACAGGCTGCCTTGGCAATTAGTGCAATTTTGTGCTGAAAGCCCTAAAAAGAAAAGGCAACAACATTTTTGGACCAAGACATGGCTGAGCAAACGTGGCTACTATGGTCTGTCAAATTTACAGAGAGAACTCCATTTCGCTTGCACCCCCGACATGCTTCTGTGTTTACATCTTAAAGGAAGAAGAGTCCTTGTTTGCGCATGCCCACTGAGCGATTTGCCCACGATGGCCGACTGAAAATCAAACA